GCTCCTCAGCAGAGAGAGAAAGAGGCAGGGGACCACAGGGTAGTGGTGAAAATGGCCCGCTTCTTGCAGAGATGCCAGCACACTTGCAGAACATCTGAAGGGGTCAGAGGAATCGGACTACATGTCTGTGTGATTTACAGGGGTAGAACATTCCAGCAGAGGCACATCTCTGGGGGAGAAAAACTCAACAAATCTCACACAAACAAATCTCAGAACCCAGTGGCTTTTGGCAGAAATTCCTCCATATTTAATTATTAAAATTTCAGAATTCCAAAATCTTGCCAAGATTATTCCAAGATGCTGCTCAAGACCATGTGATGCTTGTGTTCATGTGGTCGCTCACGTGTGGTGCCCAAGAACATGTGTCGCCCGCATCTCCCCTCTTGAGATGTGGACTTTCATGCTTTCCTGTCTAATGCTGGAATGTGTATAGGGGCTCTCTCCATCCTTGGGGAAACCCGGGTTCTTTCTTGAGCACGTTACTCTCCACTCTCTCCCACTTTCTCTCCCTCCGCCCCTTCGAAACTCCAAATAAAATCTGTTTTACTTCATTGCTCGTCTACTCCTGAAATTCTTTGCTGTGAGGCGAGACAAGAACCCAGTAACCCTGGGTCCAGGGTGGCAGAGGTGGATAGGGAGAAAGTGGCCCTATTTCTTTTTTCTGCTTCACATAAGCCACCAGTGGGGCCCACTGACATCACTGGGAACCCCCAGGAATGCAGAGACAGAACCTTGGGGGTGCAATGTGTGTCAGATTGATGGGGCAGAGATGGAATATCTGAAAGAAGAAATTTGTGGCCTTCTCTCTGACTGGCAAGGGGAAACTGAGGCTTCCTCTTTCAGTGCCAAGTTCAGGTAGATTGTCTTTTGCTGTGGGTTCCAGGGATTCGGGGATAAGATATGACCTGGAGCAGCAGCAGAACTGCATACACAGGTTTCAAAGAGTCTTTCTCCAGGGCCACCGATCTCTTCCCCAAGGTCCCTCTGACACTCCTCTTCTTCTTAACAGGCTTAACAGGCACATATTAAAGCTGAATTTATAATTCAACATTCTCTCAACAAAATACTAGAAAATAGAATTCAACAACTCATCAAAAAGATCATACACCATGACCAAGTGGGATTCATCCCAGGGATGCAAGGATGGTTTAACATTTGGAAATCAGTCAACATAATCCATCATATCAACAAAAGAAAAGGTAAAACCCATATGATCATATCAATAGATGCAGAGAAAGCATTTCACAAGATCCAGCACCTGATGAAAACCCTCGCCAAAATGGGAATAGAAGGGACTTTTCTCAATATAGTTAAAGCCATCTACCACAAGCCAATGGCAAGATTCATCCTCAATGGGGAAAAACTAAGAGCCTTCCCTCTAAGATCAGGGACAAGACAAGGATGCCCACTCTCTACACTGCTGTTCAATATAGTACTGGAAGTACTTGCAATAGCGGTTAGGCAAGAGCCTGGCAAGCTACCCGTGACGTATTCAATATGCCAAACACAGTAAGAATAAGTCTCATGATGGAGACGTTACTGGGCCTGCTCGAGCAAATCGATGAACAATGGGAGGACCGTGACCGTGACTGTGACAAGTAGGAAAGGAAGAAATCAAGCTCTCACTATTCGCAGATAATATGATACTATACTTGGAGTACCCTAAAACCTCTACCAAGAAACTCCTAGAAACAACAGACTTGTATAGTAAAGTTGCAGGCTATAAAATCAATATCCAAAAATCCATGGCTTTTCTATACACAAATAATGAGAGAGAAGAAAGTGACATGAATAAAACAATCCCGTTCACAATTGTGCCCAAGAAAATCAAGTACCTAGGAATCAGCTTAACTAAGGACATAAAAGACCTGTACAAAGAAAACTACAAAACACTACTTCAGGAAATAAAACAGGACACAAGGAAATGGAAAGATATCCCCTGCTCATGGATTGGGAGAATTAATATTGTCAAAATGGCAATACTCCCCAAAGCATGGTACAAATTCAATCACTTAATCACTTAACTTCCTGTTAGTCGGCGATTTGCTTGAGCGGGTGCCAGTAACGTCTCCATTTGTCCCTGTCGCGTGCTAGTGTAGCCCAATGGCATCTGTTCGCTCTGGGAACATGAGGAGCCTCAAACCGATCGGTCATGATCTTTATGACGAAGTCTGACCATCTGGTAGGTGGGCGGCTATGCGGTCTTTTGACATCCCATGGAATCCAGTCTGTAACAGCTCTAGTCTAGCGGTCGTCTTTAAATCTCATTACATGACCAGCCCATCTGATTTTTGACACCTTGGCAAATGAGACAGTGTCCCTGATTCTTGATCGTCAACGGATTTCGGAACTCTGGATTCTTTCTCTCAAATTCAATGTGATCCCTATAAAAATACCCATGACATTCTTCAAAGAAATGAAGCAAACACCCCTGAAATTCATATGGAACAATAATCCCCCACGAATACCTAAAGCAACAACACTGTCCTCCCATTGTTCATCGATTTGCTCGAGCAGGCCCAGTAACGTCTCCATTTTGAGACTTGTTACTGTGTTTGGCATATCCAATATGTCACGGGTAGCTTGCCAGGCTTTGCTGTGTGGGCAAGATACTCTTGGTAGCTTACCAGGCTCTCCAAGAGAGGCAGAGGAATCAAACCTGGCTCGGCCAGGCTGGCTGTGTGCAAGGCAAACGCCCTACCGCTGTGCTATCACTCCAGCCCAGCTAACGCAATTCTTGAGAAAAAGAAAATGGGAGGAATCAACCTCCCCAACCTCAAACTCTACTACTACTACAAAATAATGAAAACAGCATGGTACTGGAACAAAGGCAGAGTCACAGACCAATGTAACAGGGTTGAATATACTGACATCTCCTCCCAAACATATAATCATCTAATCTTTGATAAGGGAGCAAGAAATGTGAAGTAGAGCAAGGAAAACCTCTTTAACAAATTGTGCTGGCAAAACTGGACAGCTAAATTTAAAAAAATGGGCTCAGATCTCTGCCTAACACCATGTAAAAAGTAAGATCAAAATGGATTAAAGACCTCAGCATCAGAATGGAATCCATAAGGTATATTGAAAACACGGTACATTGGCAAAACCCTCCACGACATTGAAGCTAATGGTATCTTCAAAGATGACACTCCACTGGCCAAGCAAGTGAAAACAGAGATATACAAATGAGACTATCTTAAACCAAGAAGCTTCTGCACCTCCAAAGAAACAGTGATCAAAATACAAAGACAGTCTACAGAATGGTAAAAGATATCGCCCAATACCCATCCTATAAGGAGTTGACATCAAAGATATACAAATCACTGGTTGAACTCCACAAGAAGAAAACATCCAACCCCATCAAAAAATGGGGCAAGGAAATGAACAGAAACTTTCTCAAAGAAGAAATTCGAATGGCAAAAAGACACATGAGAAAATGCTCTACATCATTAATCATCAGGGAGATGCTGATCAAAACAACAATGAGATATCATTTCACACCACAGAGACTGGCCCACATCCAAAAGAACAAAAGCAACCCGTGTTGGTGCGGATGTGGCAAGAAAGGGACCCTCCTTCACTGCTGGTGGGAATGCCGACTGGTTCAGCTCTTCTGGAAAACAGTATGGACGGTTCTCAAAAAATTAGAAATTTGGGCTGGAGCAATAGCACAGCGAGTAGGGCGTTGGCCTTGCATGCAGCCAACATGGCCGACACAGGTTCGATTCCCAGCATCTCATATGGTCCCCCGAGCACCGCCAGGAGTGATTCCTGAGTGCATGAGCCAGGAGTGACCCCTGAGCATCGCTGGGTATGACCCAAAAAGCAAAAAAAAAAAAATAGAAATTGAGCTCCCATTTGACCCAGCAATACCACTCCTGGGAATATATCCTGGAGAGGCAAAAAAGTATAGTCGAAATGACATCTGCACTTCTCTGTTCATTGCTGCACTGTTCACAATAGTGAAAATTTGGGAAAAACCTGAGTGCCTGAGAACAGATGACTGTCTAAAGAAACTTTGGTACATCTACACAATGGAATATTATACAGCTATTGAAAAGATGAAGTCATGAAATTTACATACAAGTGGTACTACATGGAAAGTATCATGCTAAGTGAAATGAGCCAGAAGGAGAGGGACAGACATAGAAAGGCTGCATTCATCTGGGGAATATAAAGTAACAGAATGGGAGTTGAACAACCCCAGAATAGTTGAGATAAGTACCAGGATGTCTGCTTCAGGGCTTGGAAGTTGGCAGCATGTGCTGGGAGAAAAAGCAGCTCAGATAGAGAAGGGAAGACCAAGTAAAGGATGTTTGGAGGACTCGCTCGGATGCGAGATGAGTGCTGAAAGTAGACTATAGACCAAACACGATGGCCACTCAATACCTCTATTGCAAGCTACAATACCCTGAAGAAAACAGTGAGCAAAAGTGAATTCCCTGCCACAGAGGCGGGGGAGGGGTTAAGGGGTGGGGTTATGAGGGCTACTAGGATCATTGATGGTAGAGAATGGGCACTGGTGGAGGGATGGGTACTCGATCATTGTATAACTGAAACCCAAGCAAGAAAGTTTGTAAGTCTACAACTGCTGGAGTGATAGCACAGCGGTAGGGTGTTCGCCTTAGAAGCGGCCAACATGGCCGACCCGAGTTCGATTCCTCCGCCCCTCTCGGAGAGCCCGGCAAGCTACCAAGAGTATTCGATATGCCAAACACAGTAACAACAAAGTCTCCAATGGAGACGTTACTGGGCCCGCTTGAACAAATCGACGATCAACTGGAGGGCCTTTACAACTGTACTCTTGTTGTTTCACTAATAAATAAATAAATAAATAAATAATAACAATAAAAAAATAAAATTCAACTTTCATTTTGGTTTAACAGTCGCAGTCATTTGAGTCTCTTGTTTACTTTGTGATTTTAAAAATCATCATTCCTTTTTCTGAGGAGTTGAGTCCTGAAATGATGCAGTTCACCAATTCTAGGACAAGTGCTGTTTCATTGTTTCTTCCCAAGAAGACTTGTCAGAGCTCCTTTGATGTCTTTGTTCCTGAGGCTGTAAATGAAGGGGTTCAGCATGGGGGTGACCACCGTGTACATCACTGAGGCGATGGTAGTGCGCTGTGAATTCTCCGTCACAGCGGAGCTCAGGTACACGCCTACGACTGTGCCATAAAACAAGGAGACCACGGAGAGGTGAGATGCACAGGTGGAAAATGCTTTATACTTCCCCTGTGCTGAGGAGATCCTCTGTACAGAGGAAACGATCTTAACATAAGAGTAAAGGATACCAAAGGAGGGACCACCGGCCAGGAAAACAGCAAAAAAATACATCACAAAGTCATTAAGAAAAGTGTCAGAACAAGCTAGGTGGACCACTTGATTGAGCTCACAGAAAAAGTGAGGGATTTCCACACGTGCACAGAAGGACAGTGGCAAAACCATTGTGACTTCCAACAAGGAATGCAGGGCACTCATGTTCCAGGAAATACCAACCAACAGTGAACAGAGTCGGGGGTTCATGATGACCGTGTAATGCAGGGGATGGCAGATGGCCACATAGCGGTCATAGGCCATCACGGTCAGGAGAAAGTTGTCCAACACTCCAAAGAGGAGGAAAAAGTACATTTGGGCAAGGCAGCCCCCATAGGTGATGGTCTTGCTGTGTGTCTGGATGTTCACCAGCATCTTGGGGATGGTGGTGGAGATGAAGCAGATGTCCACAAAGGACAGGTTGGACAGAAAGAAGTACATGGGCTTGTGGAGGCGGGGGTCTGAGCTGACGGCCAGGATGATGAGAAGGTTGCCCAGCATGGTGATCAGGAACATGGACAGGAAAATTCCAAAGATAAGGGGCTCTAGTTCTGGTTCCTCTGAGAATTCTAGAAGAAGAAATTCTGTAATTCCTGTAAGATTTCCTGGTTCCATGTGCTGGATAAAACTGCAAGTTTTGAATTAAGATACATGATTACTTTCCAAAGTGGCAGACATGACATTGGAGTTTGGGGTGGGTTGGGGTGGTTGTTTGTTTCTGTTTTATTTTTAATATTTTCTTGTGGTCCGAAATATTTTCTTGGGTTGCAGGACTGTGAATGAAGAAAACTAAACAGACGTAACATAGAGAAATCTCTCAGCTCTAGTTTTCTCACTCTTGTAAGGTTCCCTGGGGACCGAATGGTGGATAACTGATGAAATAGTGACATTTCCAGAATCAAAAACCATTCTGTCCCCAGCACAGAGGACAGGGCTTATGGCCCATGTGGTGAGAGGAAGCCACCAGGCTGCACCCTGTGCTTTCTCATATTAACTTCCTAGAGATAAAAGAAGGCCAGGCCAAGCACACCAGTTCCACTGGTCTCTATTAATTTTCCTCCCCAAGACTACTTTAAAATCTTGCTTAGTCTCTCCCAAGGCCTGGCTCTACCCCAGCCTCGTCAGAGATTCATAGTATTATGCCCAGGAACACACCCCAGTAAATGTCTCCTATTTAGAAATTTTAAGACATCTACCCAATGGAATACTATGCAGCTGTTAGAAAAGATGAAATCATGAAATTTGCATGTAAGTAGATGGGGAATATAATGCAAAGTGAAATTAGAAAGAGAGGACAGACAGAGCATGACTGCATTCATTTGTGGAATATAAACTAACATAATATGAGACTACACCTAAGGACAGTAGAGATGAGGGCCAGCAGGATGGGTCCATGGTTTGGAAGTTGGCCTCATGTGCTGAGGAAAGGCAGTTGGGTTCCTTGGAATGAACCACTAAGTAAATGATGGCTGGAGGGATCGCTTGAGATGGGAGATATGTGTTGAAAGTAGACTAAGGACCAAACATGATGGCCTATTGGTATCTGCATTGCAAACCATAATGCCTAAAAGGAGAGAGTAAGAAGGAAGGTGCCTGCCACAGAGGCAGGAGGTGGGATGGGGTGGGGGTGGTGGGAAGGGTACTGGGGACATTGGTGGTGGAAAATGTGCACTGATGGAGGGAAGGGTGCTCAAACATTGGATGATTGAAATATAATCATGAAAGTTTGTAATTGTATCTCATGGCGATTCAATCAATCAATCAATCAATCAATCTATGAATAAATAAAAGCAACTAAAACAAAAAAATCTTGCTATTTCTTCAGTTTTACTCATCTCTGTCCCAGTGTCTGTATCTGGTGAAGTCTCCAACATATCAACTCTCAGCACTGTGATTCTCTGGAAGGATCACTGTCTTCTGGCCTGGTAGGATATTCTCTTTGCCTTGGAGAATATTCAGAAGAGCCCTATTCTCGACCTAACTTGTTGCAAGTTTGCAGCAAAAATATCCTTGGTAACAGTGTTTAGAGAAAATATTCCTCATATTAACTCAGTCTCACAACTAATTTTGATGGTTATATTTATAATTAAAAATGTTAGCCACACCTGGCAGTCCTCAGACTTACTCATGGGATCACTGTGCTCAGGGATCACTCCTACTGTCACTGACAAACCAGGTGGGGTGCTGGGGACCAAACCAAGAGTTGACCATGTGCAAAGCAGCACTCTACTTGCGGTACTAACTTGGACCCTATAATCTTTATAAATATAATGAAAGAGCCTCAAAATCTGTCCCTCCGTGACTTATTATAACCAACTACATAACCAACCAGCCTCACACTAGTGTCTCAAAGTCAAGTTCATATTGAGTTACAAGAATATTGGAAAAAGAATAATTCACATAGAAGCTCTAGTTTCATGTTCTTTGCAGATGCGTGATCTCAGACATGCAAGGAAAATAAAAAGTCATCTGTAGTCAATTGTTCAAGGAGAATGGCTTCTATGATGGTAGAATATCAGGCAGCTTTGAGAAACAGATCTAGTCCCAACAGACCAAAGGAAATCTAAGAATGATATTTGGCAATGATCAGTCTGGATAAGAACTTAGTGCTGAAAGTAGGTAAAGGGTTATACACGATAACCTTTCAGTATCTGTGTTGCACACCACAATGCCCAAAAGGGAGGCACAAAGAGAGAGAGAGAGAGAGAGAGAGAGAGTGAAAGAGAGAGAGAGAGAGTGAAAGAGAGAGAGATGCCTGTTAGTGGCTGTTACAGAGACAGGCTGATAGGTAGGGGTATGGTAGGAGGGAAGCCAGGGGCATTTGTGGAGGGAAATGTACACTGGTGATCAAACGGTGTTAGAACATTGTATGACTGAAACCCAACCAGGAACAGCTTCATGTATGTCACAGTGATTCAATTTTTAAAATGATAAAAAAAATTAAAAAAGAAATGTGAGAATGAATAGAGAGGTGAGAAGAAAATAGAAAATATATATGAAGGGTGATTAGTCTGAGGTATTTATATGGGTGAGCCTTCACTTTGTTTTTAAAGCAAGACTATCCCTCTGAGGAACAGTGAAGTGAATGATTAATTCTTTCAACTGAAACAAAATCCCCAACCTACAGTAAGAGGGTCCTAATTGACTCTTAAAAATAAGTGATGTTTTATACATCCTCCCTAATATACCTATACATGCATAAATTAGCTAAATGGACTCAAATAACATGAGAACTGTCATTCCTCTGAATAAATCTAAGAAAAACAGGAACAAAACCACCCTTCCCCCATCATAGTAAGCAAACAGCTAAAGAAACAGTTTTCATGACACTAGAAACGAGTCTCAAGTATGCAGATGTGTTTTGTCACACTGGAAACTAATCAATTAGAAAATAACTCTAATTAGCATATATTCCTTTCCACACATATATGCTTTTCTTCCCTACAAATATCTTCAAGAGCGGATTCCATGGTATAAAATTCTGTTGCTGCAAGTTCTATTCACACATTTTTTTGGTCTCAGTCTCTCATGCATAGGCAGTCATGTGCACTGTATCACAATAGGTAAAAGGTAAAGGCCCTCCCGTTGATCATCGATTTGCTCGAGCGGGCCCAGTAACGTCTCCATTGGAGACTTTGTTGTTACTGTGTCTGGCATATCGAATACTCTCACAATAATAATCAAAAAAAGTTTCCACAAGGTAGCCCCAGACATCAACTGCAATATTTACACATTTCCATTAATTTCAAAGATCCTTGGGCTTTACTTTTCCTGGAAAATGACAGCCCTCCATTTCCTCTTCTATTTTAACCTGTATAATTATCATGTAATTGCCAGGATTGACCCCTCTGTTGCATTTTAAATAACACTTACCTTTTGGTCATTAAAAATTATATATATACATATATACATATATTAAATATTCAACCCTAAAACATATGAACGTTGTTACCTGAGCTAGGCTGGCCATTCTTAGGTGGTCTCAGGCAAATGATCTTGCCTTTTCTTCTGTCAAACAAGCATCTGTAGAATCTACATGACATTTCAACTCATGTGGGTAGGATTTCTGAGCAATGCAGAATTCTTGGATCCTATTATGGAAACTTCTAGCTGAGTTCCATAAGTATCTCTGAGAGGGTCCCGGTTCCCCTTGCTGTCCTTGAGTCATCCCCTCAATAATTGAAGGAACGGGTGGCCTTGGGAAAGTGTACACAGCCACAGGACCTATGGAAATAGCAGGCAAATCCCAACAGTGGCCCAATGTTTATTAATGAGGCAACTGCTAGCAATTGTTTGTGAAAAGTTAAGAAATGTTTACCAGGGCTGGAGCGATAGCACAGCAGGTAGGACGTCTGCCTTGCACGCGGCCAACCCAGGTCCATTTCCAGCATCTCAAAGGGTTCCCCGAGCCAGGAGTAATTCCTGAGTGCAGAGCCAGGAGTAACCCCTGAGCATCACCAGGTGTGACCCAAAACATAAAAAGCAAAAAAACAAAACAAACAAGCAAACAAAAAAACAAACAAAGTAAAAAAAATGTTTATCACAATAACCCTGCAAAACTCATTGAATGACGCATTGTGAATGAAGTTTCACACCATTCTCAAGTGACCACCCTTAATGTTTGGACACATTTGTGAAGTGTTGGGTCTCAGAGAAACCATTTAAAATGGCACTGAGAGCATGGATGCTCTTTCACCGTTGGGGCTATTGGCTCTCTGTCCAGTTGAGACTGGTGGGGTCTGTCCTGTGACCTGAGATAAGGTCAGAGCATCCCCAGCCTCCACCCAGTGTCCTCCAGTCTTGCACCTAAACTATCTGTGGAAATTTCTCAATGTCTTCTAGGAACTAGCCAGGGAATGCGCTAGAGTTGTCCTTAATCATGAAAGCCTTGTTTTGGGATTTGGCCTCTTGACAAATTCTATAAATATTCTTAAAGCTCATCAAAGGCATAAAAAGCCACACCATGGACGATGATGAAGCATTGAAGTCAGGAATTGATGAGTCACTTACGATAGCGCATGAATCCCTGACTAATGGGTGAATCAACCAGCCCCGCTGTGAGTTAAGCTGATTGTGTAGAGGGACCCACATTCTGGGTGAAAGGTGGAAAAACAGCTTCCACGTTGAAACTCCACTTCCCCTCTTAGAACACTCAATATCTGTACCTCTCACAAGACCTCAGGAAGCAGCCCTGCTGGTCATTCTCTGTGACAGGTGACTTTCATTCCCCGCAGAGGCTGCCTGACAGCTGGACTCACCGATGTTGGGGTCTTCTCCAGGCCTCTGTCCAGCACGCTCACTCATCCAGCAAGGGGCCGCTGCTCAGGGTCCTGAGGACAGGGCCGAGCTTCCCTCCAGCTAAGGGGAGGGGTCCGAAGGAGAGAGCAAACCTTGCCACCGCCTCCTCCAAGGGAAGAGAAATAAGCACACGAGCACGGTGGGGGTCCTGTAAAGCAGATCCACTTTATTGAGGGACATCAAGCCTTTATGTAGGCTGGGGAGGGTGGTGGGTCAACACACCTGGGTACAATCGAAGAGGAAGCCTCTGAGTGCAAAGAGAGATTGCTTCCTGCAAGGTTGATGGTGGAGTCTAGAGTCCAGACCAGGCAGCAGGA